TTTCCGGTATTTTGTTAAATATTTTAATTGACATAGCTAGGGGGCCGGATCCATACATTTCCATTTTGGATTTTGGCAAGATCAGTCTATTAGGGTATCTTGTGGGGAAGCGACGTTGTTGATCTCCCTCCCTTGTGTAAAAACTTGGATATCTTCTGACAAATTTGGCGGTTTCCAGGATATATATAGATGGCAGAGTTAGAATTTCTAAGCTCTTAAAATACGGTTTACAGCTATCGGTATTCTTTAAATGTTTTATAATTCTTATACATTTTTTCTGTAAAATTAATAATGAATCTACTTGTGAACTGTTCCCCCATACAATTACTCCATAGCTTAGCCATGCATAAGCATAAGCGTAATATGCTGTTATGGCGGTTTTTTCATTTGTGGATTTTTTAAGTTCCCAGAGTTTGTATGTAAATCTAGATAATTTCAGTGCTATCTTTTCTACATGGGCCTTCCAATTTATATTTGTATCTATGTCTATCCCTAACAACGTAAAATTATTGACACTTTCTATATTGATGTCTTTGTAGGTGCTACGCCTACCGTAGAGGTCCACCTGCGCAGGTACACTAAACAGCACAGGTGTGTTCCTACACATGTACCAACTTACCTGCGCAGGTACACTAAATTGCACAGGTGTGTTCCAAGACACGTACCAGTTTACCTGCGCAGGTAAACTGGTACGTGTATTTATCTCTGGTAGACAATAACGCGTATGGCCGCCATTAAAGAGGTCAAGGAGCTGCGTATGAACCGTAAGAAGCGGAGGAGGCTAAATCGACAAGAGCCTGGCTGTTACATAAGATGAAAATGATTGTATCCTTGATTTTTCAGGAATATAAAATAATAATTAACTAAGTATCATATCATTTTCTGTGAAGGACAACATCGTGATGAAACCTTCACGTCGAAATCCCTCACCCACCCTCAACCCTCAACCCTCATCCACCCTCAGAAAACGTGTGAATTACCTTAACCCGCATTGGGCCAGAGTGGCGGACAATTGCATAAAACCCTTGCCCAGCAGTGGGACTTATAAATAGGTTGTTGAAGGGTACCATATCAAATATTATATGACTAACTGTAAGCCACGGTTCTTGTCTCACATCGAATTGTTTTTATAGATCTTCGGCGGTTTGATATCTCACAACATTTTCTAGGTTTAACTAGCCTATTACTAGTTGAAATTGCGAGAGAAATGATAATTGCTCATATATTCCTATCAGGCGTTTTCTAATAAAATGTGAGAATGATCTAAAATGTAATAATACGTGTAAAAAACTGAGTAAAACAGTTGTGAAATGCATTTACAGGATACCTCTATATTTTTTGTTTAGTATATTGTGTACTATGTTTATAATTCACGAAAAATGTCCAGAACTGGTGATTTGTAAAGGTCTTGTATTTCATTTTGATAATACCAAACTACACATATTTACAAAGTCATTAAAAATTATTGCAGATAGGTTGGGATGTAGAAATGTGTTGGAGTCACAGACATATATCTAGATATATGTATACGTTTTTACAATAAGATTCCGGAGCATAATAGATGACTATTTCTTAAGTTTAAAACTTACATTAAAAGTATTGTAATTGAAAATTCATAAAGACAAAATTGTAGACTACGTGTTAGATAAAGATGCATGGAAAGACAACGTGAGTCTAGATTCCACACAAATATGATTTAAAATGTATTCTATTGCATTTAAGTTTATTTGAAAAGAGCAATCCCTAGGGTTTCTTGCTCGTTCTTCTCAGGGAGGTCAGTGTAGTGAATGAGCAGTAGCTTAAAAAACTACGTTTTCAAATGTAAAAATTTTATAGAAATATAATTATTTTGACTTGACTTACCAATTTCTCCGTCAATAGTGGACAGATTTTGAAAATTCTTTTTCAAAATGTTTTTCTTTTTTTTCAGTCAACTTAAAATTACGGGCGCGCCAGTTTTTAAACACGATCAACCGACTTTTTGTTCGTTGTACTAACAACTTGTCACAGAGGGCCGAATTACGTTTTTTTATGATACTAAGAGACGGGACGAACAAGTCGTGCGCCTGGTGGTGGTCGACACGCTTGTCCACTGTAGTTGCAGCGCTATGCCAAGTCACCCTGAGACACAAGTTTTTTCACCAGCACCCTTACCCTTCAAAACTGGAACGCAGTAATTCTCACATTACTGCTTGGCGGCAGAAATAGTTAAGGTGTTAGTACTTCCTTGGACAAACTGTTTCAGAAGCAGCTCTTCTGCTACTGGATTCTACGTAAATCCGGCCGGGGATTAACCCCGAGCTGGCGAGGCCATGAAAACTGGTATGCAATCCACTCGACCCCGGAGGTCAATACTTGAATTATTTAAGTTTGTATTTCTTCTAATTTGACTTAGTTATAGGTAGCGTTGCCACACGTTCGGATAAAGTCGGACATAGTTAGGCTTTGTGTCGGACCAAATTGGACGATGACCGGCTCGTCTGTACTTCCTTTTACGAACACTGGATGCGTAATTCAGTCGCGTAATTTCTGCTAGACTTTGGAAATTATATTGTTTGCAATGTTTTAACCTACTGTTAATTTTAACCTGTGTATCCCCACTTAACAAACCTTGCACTAAAGTGAAAGTCTATACGTCCGGTCAACATATGGTTTAGTCTTGGTCAGTTTACCGCCAAAGCAACGCCGCCATTTTTGTTTCTACGTTTTTTTTAATAAAAAACCAGTGCTTGTTATCAAACAGCCCATTTAAAATAATGTGTTTTTTCTTAAATATTTGATGTTCTGTGTTTTTTAATTTTATTTTAAAAATGAAAGTGTTTTGTGTGTTATTCGGCCTAGTTTCATTAGGTAAGTCATAATTTACTGGTTTTCCATATTTTTACCTGACTTTAGGTAAAGAGGAGTAATATATTATGTGTTTCCTGATTATGTATTGATTCCAGCTATTTTGTTTGAACGCCTATTTCAGAATTACGAAGAAACAAAAAATTTAAGCGTTGGTTTTTACATGTTTCTTTATTAACTACGTAACAGATGATTAGTCAATTTTGGATGGTTTTACATTATTAGTTGGGCCGGGATTTCCAAACCCACATGACACTATTCATCTAGTTATTTTAAACTGAAAATCAGCAAAGCATTAACCTTTTTGTCTACATTACTTCTTGTGTTTTCTTGTGGAGAAATAAATGTATCTTTATTTTATTTATTAATTTTCTTCTTGTGAGTTCGTCCAGGGAAGTACTGCCACTATTTCTGCCGCCAAGCAGTAATGTGAGCATTACTGCGTTCCGGTTTTGAAGGATGCTGGTGAAATTCAGGTCTCTGGGTGCCGGGCGTAGTGTCAATGCCCTAACCAGCACCCTTACCCTTCAAAACCGTAACGCAAAAGTTGGTAAGACGGTACTTTCCAGGACGAACCCATAATGTCAGGCACCGATGTTGTCAAAAGGAAGGGGGTGTATCGCACTGCTATTACAATAGTGTTGTAACTCAAAATATGTGAAATTCAAGATTATACTATTGCTGAATGTAAAATTTGATTGTCCACACGTCAATAAAACCGTCGTTAGAATATTGTAAGAAACAATTAAAATATAATATGTACTTACCTCAAAATGAGACAAACTTTTCATAGGAGAAAACAGTCCTTACTAAAAAATATTAAATCATTTTTTCCTTTTTATTTGTACATATATTTGCCAAGTAGGAAATTATTTAGATGTCTGTAACAAATTTTATCGATTAAAAAAAAATACACTTTTTGAGTTAATATACTATTGTATTAACAGTGCGACTATCATCATTAACGTTTTTTAAACGTGCTTTCAAAAAACTTTCATTTGATACCATAAGATGGTGAATCAGTCATAAAAACAAGTCTCACTCCGTATTTATAGAAAGAAGACGATTAACATGAGTTTTTGAAATATTTATTATCCGTTAAATTGTATAATATGTCTCAGAGAAAGTATTAATAAATATATAATAAACAAGATTCAAATTAACTAACTGAATTTTTTCCGCTACAATCATTGACTTACAATTTTATGGACGTCGGGTCCGCGCTAAAAAGTGTCCGAACTTATAGGGCGTTAAAATCGTATACAGAGCGTCATTCACGCTTTTAGTCTTCGTTTGTTTCTTCTGACAGCGAAGCAAGCAAAATTAGACAGACTGCGATGACATTACAATTTAAATTCAACGTTTTAGCTTTTTCATATTCCTTTACATGTCACTACGTTTAAATAGGTTGACTTGGGACATTTTTTTCGTGGTTTTTGTATTAGACCCGTCGTCCATTTTTTTTTCGTCCATTAGGCAGTAATTGGTGCGATTGTCTGGCACGTTATCGACAGAGGTCCTCAAAATGCACTGTCTAATTTCTGCCAAAATAAGCGATCATTTTATTTTGTAACGGAAATCAAAATGGCGGCCTTGCATTTTCATGACCACGGTGCAAAGCGCTGTTCTACGTAGATAGTCAGAAGTAGAATTGCAATAGGTAAAACAATATAATGCAATAATTACGTACCGAAGGTCGGTCGTTAATATTCATGTAGTTTTTTTTGCAATTACATCGAAACAAGGTTATTTAATATAAGGAAGTAACCGGCAACATTTACACCAATAACTTCATATACTTGTGTTGACCTCGGTGGTACAGCTCAATGGTCCCAGGTTGGAATCTCGGTATAGTACTAGCTCGAGAATCGAACTTCTCTTTTATGTAGTTAATACGAAGATCGGACACAGAAAAATTCAATCGATCCGGCTGCATGCGAACCAGCATCTTCAGCATACCAGGCTGACGCTCTCCCAACTAAGCTACGGAACAAGCTAGCAGACCCAACGAATTTTTCTACGTGCTAGTTGCAGATCTTTTGTTTTTGTTTTTTTTTTTCGATTTGTTTGTTCCATGGTTGGCACCGACTCCAAAACTAACTAATTAGATATTGAAAATATTTAAGTATCAATATTTTTTTAGTGGTAAAGTAAAACTTCAAACCGACCAGTAGATATAGCACATACCATTATTATTACTATTAATTAACCCATTATATCCCACTGCTGGGCAATGGTCTCCCCCAAAATCCTGCTTTGCTCCCTGTCTTTGGCGATCTCTCACCACTCTCTCTCAAACCCATATTATAATAATAATATTTCATTAAAATTATAGGTAATAAGGTTTGGACAAGAATTGTTACGTTGTAATTATAAATAAACCATAAATGTTGATAGATTGATTATTACGTTATTATAATACTGTCTGTGTACAAAACGAAATAAGACAAAAATAAATAAAAAGAATTACGTGCATTTTTGTCGTTTGGATTAAATCTCTATTTTGTTATTTTTCGCTTTTTAATAAAATAAAAATAAAAATAAAATTGTTTATTCAGTAACATAATGTACAGAGAAAACTAAAGACTACTTATGCGATTTAATGTAAAAATAACACATGTACCTGAACTAGGAAATTCCTGTATTTCAGGTAAAAAGTACTACTAATTATAAACGTGGATACTATTAATATTATAAATACTTTTTAGGAGAATCTTATGAAATTAAACAATAAATTGCCAATAAAAAAAATGTACACTTAAACAAGACAACATTTATTTTACGATAATAAATAAATTCTCTGTATCCTCATAGGACATATTTTGAAAAGCTTCTTGGAGAATTTTCTTTACCTTCAAGCAACTTAAAGAAATTATAAATGGAATATTTGGCGTTTAATTTATTGTACAAAAATGGTCCAAGAAACACAAAAAATCTTGAAATAAAAGTATGTTTTGATGATATAATTTTGGGGCCGACAATATCTTTTCGTCTTTTATTAGTGTTTTCAGTAATATAGGGGAGTAATACGTGCTGTTTGAGGACTGTGGACTTAATATAATGTAGTGACTGTTTGTGGTTTTTCAAGTTGGTTGAATATTTTGTTTAAAGTTTCTTCTAATTTGACTTATAGTCCATTTCTTTAGGTACTTAACTAAATGTAAACAATGTTGATACATCTTTTCATTGAAACATGTATTTTACAAATCAATAGGTATAAAAATAGGCATGCAATTTCATATGAAGCTAACTATTTGTGTTTTGTATTTGAAGGTAAGTAAAAATCATTTTATAAACACGTATTTCATTAAATAGACATCTCAAGATTGTTTACATTTAGTGAAGTACCCAAACAAATCGACTATAGTTGTAGGTAGCGTTGTCGAATGTCCGCGTAAAGCGGGACATAGGTTTCATGTCCGGCTAAATTAGACGATGTCCGGCTCGTCCGGCTTTTGTTAATTTAATTAATTTTTGTTTTGTTTAATGTTGATTTCGATGGCTAGTCATTGCAATAATAGATATTTAAAAAAACATATTTTTTTTAATGCACACACTCGTAGCCCCGCACTAGGGAAACCCTGCATCGCGGGTGCCATGGACACATTCTTAGACAAATTACACCCAAACTCACGAGACAAATACGAGCCATACAAATATTTCTTCTGGCCCGGGAATAGAGCCCAGGACCTACACGTGGCATGGTAACTGTTCGGTCACGGTAAAGGTAAGTAAATTGCTATGGTTGTATGCCACATTATTGTAACGCACCCTCAGTGCAATAAGGACATAACTGTAAAATTGCAACTTTTCTTCAAAGAATTCTATGAACGAATTTAGTCGATAACTTTTAACGCTTAATTTTTTTTATAACCTCAAGTCGTGCGCCTGACGGTAAACTACACGCCTGTCCATAACAGTTGCAGTGCCACTCAGAGCTTTAAATCGCAAAGATCTGAGGGGCACTGCCACTGTTGTCAAAGTTGACAAGTCCCATGTGCCTGTAATTTCACCAACACTTTTACCCTTCTAAGCCGGAACACAGTATGCTGACATTACTGCTTGGCTGCAGAAATACGTAAGGTCGCATGTAGTACCCTGGATGAACGAACGAAGTGCCCTTCATCTGTACAAGATTTTAACTAAAAAATTAATAGATTGACCGGGAAACCCAAGCTGCAAGCAGCTACCTTGCCCAGCGCATTACCATAGCAATACAAAGGGGGAGCGCTGCCAGCGTCTTGGGCACCTTGCCGCGGGGACACAACTTTAGTCATATAATTTAAAATTTCTAGTTTTACTTTCTAGTATTTACGTTTTTATCGTCTTTTTTACCTTACCTGAACGTCTACTCTCAAAATATACAACCGCAGCTGCGTACGAAATCAAAACAATCCGTCAACCATCCGCAGTTTGTTAGCCACAAACGCTTTCGTTTCGGGCTTCGGATTCCATAGACAATAACGGCCCGATAACGTGAATGGTGAAATAGTATAATAATATATAAATATAATAATATTCTTTTACACGCCTAAACAAAAATAGAACTGAAAAAATGGCGGATTTTTTTAGTGTTGTACCATAATCTATCGAAAAGTCATTATCGACTTGAAAACGTTTAATTAAAGTAGATCAGTATTGCATTTGGGAATACTTTACTTCTTATGGGAATATCCGGGAATGTCATGTGAGATTTTGAATTTATTGTTTTGCATTTATAAATGCTCAAAAATATTACAAAAAGTGAATTTGTGCAGGAAAAAAATGTATTTAAACCATTTAAACCATTTATTTTCACACACATAATAATAATAAAAATAAAGAAATTATAAATAATAATAATAATTTACAGAAATGAGGATAAACAATTTATAATTACGCAATTTACTGAATTAATTAATTATTTAAAAAAATTAATACAAAAAAAAATATTAAAATATGTGTGTGACGGACACGAGCTCAGGGAAATGCTGAAATCACTTTGTAGTGATTTCAGCCCTGAT